AGATCAGGGGAGTCTAAACTGCTCTCTGGAGAAGAAGAGACAATACCACCTGATCTGAATGTAGCTCGGCTTGTTTGGAAAGCACTCCGTGCTTCAAGCTGAAGAGGTGGTAAACTCCTTGATGTCTCAGTAATCATATCATTTCCGCTATTTTCAGTATCTTCATTTGAACTTTGGTCAGGGATCCAAGGGGTAGCTCTGCAGGGAGGCGAAACCTCTTACTAGATCGCCTTCTATTATTATCAGGCCTTGGGATCATTCGGTGTCCACTGCTGCTAAAGTCACCATCCATTTCGAGGCCATAAGGGGCTTCTCGTTTCACAACAGGTTGCAGTATTTTGGATCTTTTCCTCGCCTCTGCAGCAACTTTTGAAACATCTTCTGTATTCATGCGTGCTAATGTCCATGGACTGATTTTACAGATGCGGGGGGGTTCTTTTTCTTGATATTATCCTCTGCTACTGTCTTTTTTCCAAGTGAACTTACAGATCCAGTCTCTGGAGGGACTACATCAAACTGCAACGAAACAAGATATTGAAGCACCATTAACAAACAAGACCAGAAGTTTATTGTTTCAAAAGTTGGACCTAGAGTTGGATTGTTCAAGTTCATCGAGAATTTGTGTTTCAACAACCACTTCGACTAGTTGTCTCCAACCAACATGCTGCATACAGTTTATGTGTGATATACATTGTCATCAATGCACCAGAAAATTGAGGTGTTTCCAGAGGAAACTCAATGCTCTGCTTTGTTGGCAAGATGTATTACTTCGTGAAATGATTACATGTGGTGGCTCCTGACAACTCTAGACTGGACTAGTAAGCAAGAATCAAATAAACCAATATAGACCTCCTACAGACCTCTTAAACCAGAATCAAACTGCTTATATTTTTGGAAACCAACCAAACAATTATTTTCACTGCAGTCAGCAATGAATGGTGCTGAAAAAAGAGTGCCTCGGCATTAAGCAAGTAACTGTCATGGAATAAGCACTATTTTTCTTCTATTTGATTCAACAGTGAATCAACATTTCTCTTCGGCAAAATGCACGGTATATACCATACCTGATCTTCTAGAAACAGGCGTGGAGGTGTACACCACGCTCCTCCATGAAAAGTATTGAAAGAGCTTGTGCTGCTTAAGCCAGTAAGGGAGCTTGCAGATGACATCTGGGGACTTTGCTGACCTCCAACTCCTTGTTGCTCTTGCTCCCTCAGAGCAATAATGTAATCATATGTGCTAATTCCCTGTCATCCAAGCACAGATATTATCAGCTCAATAGTTTATCAATTCAACTTTAAACATTGGAGGGCATAACTGCGAGCAGTCTTCTTGTGGGCCAACCTCATGCTTTTACCCTAGTTATTGTTTAATACATTCCCCAACTATTGTCGAATACATTTGGGATCAGGCTACCACCATTACCCAGGACTTATTGGAGCTTCCCAAACCCCACCTCCAACCCGAAAAAAAAATAAAAAATAAGGGAAGGAAAGAAAGTAAGTAATGATGATTTCAAAAAGAAAATTTCCTAAATAAGTGAAAATTACAGGTAGCATTAAAACTAAAAAGGTAATGCACATAGTTATGAGCAATGAATGATATCCAAGCCTACCTTTTTTATGAGAAGAACATGAAAGAACAAAAGTTGTGCAAGCGGTAGGGTTGCAATCATGGCCAATATGGTGCATACTGCCTGCCACATATAAAACTATTACGTTAGCTACAAGAGGAGAGAAGCACGATAGAAAGAATTGTGTGATGAGTTACTTTACTTGATTAATCATCTACTATAGTTGAGTGAACAAATGGTTGAGAAGTAGTAAAAGGTCGACTGGCATGGGAAAAATCCCATCAAAATAAAGTACAAGGCAGACACAATAACAACATTCCCTCTTGAAAAAAAAAATAGAAGAAAATAAATAACCACTCACCACCACAATAACAAAGGGCACCACAGAGAAACTGCTTCCTAACTTGGAGGCGATGTCAACAGAGAAACTCTTGCGCTCACGAAAACAGCATATCAATACTAGTATTCCAGCTGACCACTGAAGTATAAGCTGCAATCTCAAGTCCAAGGTGCACAAACCATGTATAGACCTGTCAATAATCAACTAAATGAAGAAAGACTTGAAAATAAAAATGCTCATTCTTGAGGAGATCTTCACGTCCTGGCAATTCTTTATTTGAAAGCAAATTAAAGATTAAAGAATTTTTGGCAGCTGAAGAGTTTCAAGCTTATCAGGATTAATGAAGAGGCCATGGTGATGGCAAAGTGCAGCAGCCTAAGAGAAGAGGCCATGGAAGGCCATGGTGATGGAAAAGTGCAGCAGCCTAAGAGGCGAAACTACAAGAATTATGAGATATGACAAGATATCATTAACTGCTTTGTGAGATGTAATATAAGTCATCATCCTTGATTTGGAACTTATGCACAATGGTGGTATTTATATCATGGATGGAATTTTGCACACCTCTCAAGAGTTTCTAAAAGTTGGAATCTCACCTAATTGGTAGGATTAAATCCGTTCACCCAAGAATTAATTGAGTTGGGTACCATGAATTTGAGACTCAAGTAACCATAGATTTAACCAAACTGACGGAAAGGCAGACAATTAACAAGAATATAGTAGAAGCTTGCTCGTCCGCTATGAAGCGTCAAAGGCACATGATGGAGGCCTGTTCTTACCAGGAGAAAGGCAGAGCCCATGAGGGTGAAAAACTTCCGATAGTTCCTTTTGCCTATACAATTGTTGAGCCACTGTAAAAGGCAAAATGAGAAAAGGCATGAGAGGTCTTGTCAAAATAGAGGGGAAATTCCCACCAAAGCTTGATCCTTAAATACCCTGCAGTGATGATCAAAACGGTCAACGCACTTGTTACAAATTCTACAATGCTTGCTGTACTTGAACACCTGCAAGATAGCAATCATTTAGAGAAATACAATCCACAATCTGATTAGAGCCTTATAATCCATGCAATCTTATTTTTTTTTTTGGAGGAATATCTCTAATGGAACCCATTGAATGGCACAGGCTGCTTTTGAATGCCTTGGGTTGGAAATTATAATGCCAACTTTATTTTCTACAAGAAGCATTTTGTGACTCCTATCTGGCTTCATGGATGGAGCAAAAATTCAACAGTGGGAATGAAGTTGTGTGTGGTGGCAAGCTGTTGGGGGAAAGAGGGGGGGGGGGGGTTTGGGATCCTTTCGGCCAATTAGGAGAGTATGAACAATTAATTCACAATAAAGGAAAAACCAAAAAAAAGTAATATCTTAGGGGTCCCATTAGGGCTTTCTCGTGAATGGCATCAACTTTGAAAGGGAATAATAGAAACTTGAATATCTTAGTGTCCCCATCCCCCATCTGTTTGAATATGTTATATGTATATACACACCTCTACTTCACACAAACTACAGTAGAACATGCCATCCTCGCTCATTTGTTGCTCAGAAGATTCCTCAAGCGGACTCCAGCAGTTGCACATAAAAGCACAAGGGAGGAAAGCGAAAAAGGGCATAAAACAAGCTTTTTGGTGAGATGATGCATTATTCTTTCCTATTTCAGTAGTCTGATCTTCTGGTTCTGCATCCATGTCCTTCATGCCCTTATCAATATGTTTCTCTCCAATTGCTTCATTATTCGCATCATGTATTGACAAAGTTGAACCCTCACCCAGTTTAGATTCCTTGAGCCGGATATCCTTTTTGCTGTCTGTAATATTGAGATACTTTTTCGATTTAAAGACTCCTGGGTCTGCGGGATCAGCAGCCACACACCAAATATACAGGCCCACGACACATACAATCTGAGAAGAAATGAGATGTTAGTGATGTTTCCATGAAAAAAATTGGAGCATTCCAAATAGGATATGGAAAAAAAATACAGAAAGTGAAATCATGTGTCAATGGTTCATGTTCTTTATGAAATAGTCTTAGCAGTTTCATTCTAGTCTAGAGATAAAATGGGGATATCACTGCATCTCTGTACAGGGTAATCTAGCAAGGACTCAAGAAACCTGATGTGATTGAACCATGTGTTGATCATGGTCAACCTAAATCCAAACACAGTTAGCTTGATAAAGGTTGTGCTGAATAAATCTATCTCTGGGAACATCTTATAGACTTGTCTAAATGCTTTTCAACAACGAACATAGAGAGCTATCATTCCAATGTCTTTACAAGGCATGCAAATGACCCAACAACAATGTTACCTCAAAGATAAAAAATCAAAGCTCATGACTTTCTCAAAACAACGTACCACCCGCAGATTTTGATCAGATTGTATACCTTTTGTCTGGCTATGTATGTGGATGTGTGTAAAGAAGGGACGGGACATCTCTCTCCTCTTTTTGGGGGGAAAGAGAGAGGGAAGAAGCGGTTGTGGCACCTCACAAACTTATTACTGGGGCAGTACTAAGCTTTTCCAAGTGTTTAGATGCACGAGTTTTGTTCATATTATTGCACAGGTGAAAGAGAAATTATCCCCAAGGCAATCACTTGTGTCTTTCTTGGCTATGCTCAGTCCGGGTATAGATGTGTGAAGTGAAATCCAAGAGACTCGACGTATCCTTGAATGTTCTATTTTATGGGGTCGCCTCATATTTTCCTTAACCAATCTTTTAGAGGATTACTGGAAATTTATAGAGGGAAATCAGTGGTTCCCAGGGTGTGCAAATGAAAACTAAAAGTCAAGCAGCCATTTACATTTATCCCCTAAAGTGACAGGTTCCTGAGAAAAATATCTGATGCTACAGAATCAAACTCAAACAGAAGATTAGGACAAACCCAATCTATAACCCATCAAGCAGAGAAAACCCAGATCTCAGCTCTTCACCTTAGTAGATAAATAGAGAAATAAGAGATACAGGTTAAAAAAAAAAAAGAAGATAAGTGTAAAATGGCTTACAAGAGGAGAATAAATCCCCATCACGACGTATTGAAACAACTGTTTCCCAACAAAAGGGGCAAAAAACACATAGAAAGCAAACCCCAATGCCATAAATACAGCAACAGCTACCACCTGCACAGATAATTCAATCAACCAAAAATCGGAAATGAAACCTAAAAATATGTAAAACAACCCGCCAAAGGTAGTATCTATCGAGATAGAGAGAGAGAGAGAGAGAGAGAGACCTGGAGAGGATGATAAGGGAGCTGCCATCCATGCTTCCTCATTTTGTGATTGAATGTCACAGCAAGGAACAAAATTGCAAGACAAATACTAGCTAAGAGCACTTGGTTCACCTTCTATTTTTATTTTCTTTGAAAGCTATTTTCTTTCACTTTCCCTAATTTTCATAGAAAATATTGAGATGATTGCTTCATTGTAGCAACAATCAAACGATTCTTGCATACCCATTTTCCACAAGTCTTTTCAGAATGAAGTAAAAATAAAAAATAAAAAAAAGGCATCAAAAAGAGCCCAAGGTGACAGAAAATGAGTAATGTTAGTGGGTTGTTTGGAAGCAGGCATGGCCAATGGGTTGGAGCTTTGTCTGGTTCACTCAATCATAGTCCTCCCCAAGACATTGAGGGCAACGTGAGAGATTGCCTTGGCTGAAACAGGTTTTGGGTTTTTCTTGTTTCTTGCAAGAATCTGTAAACTGAGGGAAGAGAGAGAGAGAGAGAGGGAGATGTCTAGCAGACTGGCACTGTTGGATACTTGGACAGTTGGACTGGTAAAACCAACCCCCCCCCCCCAAAAAAAAAAAAAAAAAATACGCCACCAAAAAAAAAAAGTATCATAATATTTAAACCTTATTGTTAATTTATTTATAAAATAAACATTCTTTCTGTAGGTGTGGAACTCAAATCCACCCTTGTAATTAAAAAGCATAGGATAAAAGCTGATACTGATATTCATTTTTAAGCCTATAACTACCTTACAATCTAACTTTCTACTTTTTTCTTTATTTCTAGCCTTGTCTTTTCCATAGGCAAGTGTTGTGTCACAGGTCACTTGTTGCCTACCCTTTTTGTAATTGCTAATCAAAAAATACTATTTAAACTAAATTTGGAGATCTAATTTAATATAATTATTGAATTAATAGTGAAATTTTTTTAATATTAAAACTCACAATTAATTTAATAATTATATTAAAATAACATCATTATATTTTCAAATTAAATCACTGTAGCAATGTTAATTGCTAACAAGCCTCTTTAAAGCGTTATTTTTATTGCTCATCTACTATTTTTACAATTCTCTCTTTCTTTCTCTCTCACCCATTTTTTTTTTTTTCAATCAATGATAGATAGGTATATGTTGATTACCTTTAGGGGTGGTTCAATAGTTAAGTTTATTTTTTGATAATTCAGAGATTTTAGGTTAAATTTCTTTTCATACCCCTTTAAGACTAGTTACTTTTATCTTTTTTGAGACATGCTTTAGGCTATTTCAAGTCACATTAGTCAATTATTGAGTTCCAGAGAATAGTTGACGCAAACCTAAATACCATGTAAAAAAAAAATGTTGATCACCCACTTGTGGATTGGTTTTCCAGCACCCAATAGTCTTCTTTTGGTCTTTAATGACATCTAAATTTTTTAGAACAATGCTATGTATATTAAATTTGTGCACAAAATCATTGTTGGTCCTTGAATCAGTAAGATCTACTATTGTCCAACAGCTAGTAATGATTTGGTAAACAAATTTAGTACCAAAAAAATTATTAAATTTTTTATGCTCTTGTTTCTAAATTTGAGGGAATGAAACTCCCAAACCATAACCTCCCCCCCCCCCCTCTCACACACACACACACACACACACACACATACAAACAAACAAGCCAAAGGCCCTTTACATTAAATGAGAGGTACAGGGTGGTGTTTATAACACTTTAAATGATGAGAAAAAAAAGGAGGTAAAGGTGGGTGACTTTCATAATGTTACTTTAGACAAACATGTGATACAACTAATTACAACCAAGGCCCAAGTGCTCCACACCCACTTATAATGTCTTATCTCTCTCAACATGTGTCCTGTCATGTAAAAAAATTTTGATTCTTGATTGAAAATTAATTCCTTCTACAATGCATCATAGGTAAAATAGACATTTCAGTCATTCTACTCTAGGCTTGGGCCAGGATCTAGGTATTCACTAGTCCAATGTCATAACAGGCCAAGCTAATGCAAGGTTTGGTAATGGGTTAGTATAAGAGGTTGTTTATTCTAAATTCGTATGGTGTTACTGTTATATTATATATTAATTATGTCTAGTTAGATTCATATCATGTCCAGTTTTCTCTCCCCCCCTCTTGGTTTAGATTTGAACAGCTAATATAAGCCAAGTAATAATTTTTTTTTTTTTTAGCTCAAGTAATAATTTAAAAAGCAACATACAACATGGGAAAGGACTTGGTTTATGGGCATATGGAGGGCAAAACTGGAAAAAATTAGTGGCCTCTTAATATTCAAATGTGAGATGTGGGCTACCTACAAAATTTTTTGTCTATGATTGATAGGTTGGGCTGGTCCTTGGTCCAACATTTGTATCGAGGTATAGCTGGAATTCTTCCGGTGCTGATCAAGCGAGGGATTAATTCTAGCTACAAAAATTCAGCTCGCTCAACCACTCCTAATGAATTTAAATCCAGCCTAGCTACTGCTAATTTCTTTATTTAAAATCAAAGAATAGACCAAAACAAGAAGTAAGACCCGAAGAATTGCCCACCCTCTGCTTTTCAATTGGTTTGTCAATTCTATTTTAAAAAATAAAATAAAAATGGAGGTTTAGGGAGAATCTAAGTGCATATTCCAACAAAAATAAAAATAAAAATTGAAGTTTAGAGGTCACTTTCACAAGTGAAACCAAGCTTTAAATTTAAGGAACATGGTATTTTAATACTTTCTTGTTCTGCCTTAGGTTGTTGAGTAATTCTGTTCCAACAATGTTATACTCACCACCTTTCTGCATCATCTCAATGTGAATCATTAAATTAATATGTCCCATTAATTTTATTAAATTTTCAAAGATTAAGATCGTGTCACATGAGATAGTGCAAGTCAGATGGTGTTCATATCATTATGAATTTTGTTTTAGTTTTGTCAAGCATAGACTTTAAATAATTGGTCACTCCAAAGTCTAGTCGCTTGCCTATATTTTAGGTTATTGATTACAAATCTAATAAAAGAGGGAGTCGTGTTAAATAGTTGAAAGTCAACATAAAAATTAATAAACGAACATAAATTCTCAAAACATATTTGTCTAAAGTCAATAAATTACTGACCAATTTGTCCCATGGTATTAAAGCCTTTGTCACTACATGGGAGTGCAAAGGATCAAATCCAGTGCCCTACATAAGCTTTTTTTCAAATTTCAAGCACATGAAAGAGTAAATACACTGTCTCTCGTGAAGGGGACCCTTGAATTGCAACGTACTGCTATAGTTAGTTGTGTTGACAAAGTAGTGCTCATTGTATTGTGACATATAAGAGTCCCACATGAGATTGAAGATTAATAAGGTTACGGTTATGGGCGAATTAAGCGAAGAAGTATACAAGAGAGAAGTGATGTGTTGTGGCTATGCAAATAGGAAACCCCGAACAAACTGTCAATGATAAGTCGAAGAAAGATGAGGATGATGTCAAGTCATCATGCCCCTTATGTCCTGGGCAACACATTTGCTACAATGATCATGACAAAGGGTTGCGATCCCGCGAGAGTGAGCTAACTCCAAAAATCCGTCCTCAGTTTGAATTACAAGCTATAACTCGCTTGAATGAACCAGAATTGCTAGTAAGTAGTAATCGCCATGTTGTAATGGATTGAAGATTGATTTGAATTTAAATTTGATTATTTGGATATAAATTATTATTTTTTTGACTAATTATATGAATTTGAAAGCCGATAAACCAAATTTTAAACACTCAAGTTTGGATATACAATTATTTAGCAATAATTCAGCCCACAATATGTAAAAATATAGAGATATGGTGAAATTAATTGGTCATTTGATGCAATTTAGTAAAAAATTATTTGTAATTTGCTAAAGTTCACCTCAGTTAAGTAATTTCAATTGGATTTTTGAATTTGATTTTCTACTTTGAATAGAATCTAATATGAATTATAATTATAATACTTGTCAACTATTCGTATCGAATTTAAATGAGTGTTTTTGCAATCGAAATCAATTTTAACTTGTGGGAAATCCGGTCCGAATTAGCCCCGCTTTGACATCCATTAATCATGTGGCCGATGTGTGTGTGTGTGTGAGAGGAGAGAGAGAGAGGTTATGGAGTCAAACTTCAAACAAAATGTTCCGTTTTGATTCCAATAATAATGATAAGTCTAAAACCTAATCGACACAATTTTGTTAGATTGGAGTCGTTACTGTACTTTATTTTGAGGAAATTTTTGTGTCATTATACAACTTTAAACACCGAATTTCTACTTAGACATTACTAACAAATTAATCGACACACATTCATATATACACGACATGAATCTGATCATTAAGTCAAATATAAATTAAACAAATATTGATTGGCCGTACCTTAAACATGAAACCAAACAAATATATCATGACACAACCCTAGAGTAGAGTGGCATTGTCATTGTAGCAGCCTACTAAAAAAGAAACAAAATTGTTTGTTTGATGGTGCTTCCCATTTTCCAAAATAGAGGGCTTGTTGGAAGACCTTCTACCAACTCCACAAAGACAACATTAACAACTGGAAGGAACAAGTCTCATATGACTTGGTTTAAATTTTCTTCCATCAATGATTGAAAGAAATATTTTTAGATTCTAATCTCAGATCTGTCCCTGTAGCTATTTAGAAATTAATTATATATACTTATACTGGGTTCATACCTACCATGGACTTTGAATGATGTATCTTAACCCTTAGTCATTGACATTTACCTAAAAGCCATTAACAATAAGATGTAACTCAAAGGTAGTTCAAGTGGTGAGTTGTAAATTTAGATGTTCTGTGTTCAAATCTTAGCAACTCTTTAGAGCCAAGCCGTATGAATACCCTAGTCGTAGGATAAATGACTTGCTTTTAACTGGACAATAAGTCTTGAATTTGCAACATTGATTTTAATAGTAAAACAATATATGTAATTAGCCCATTTAACCTCAAGTGGTAATATGGACGAGCAATAAATTCAGGTATTCTGAGTTTTAATTTTGACAATCACTTGAGATCAGACCATGAGAGATTTATCTCT